CTTTTTCTGAACTCACAGCAGGTTTCGTCATTGATAATGCAATGTGCTTTCTGTAATTGTGGTGTAACATCCTCAAGGGCAATGTAAGCAACTGGAGGACAACAATGAGATTTTAAATTTTGTTAGAGCACCTAGCATATATCATGTGCACAGTAAAGGCACTCATAATCAGTTGGGTGAATGAATGGTGAATGGAATCTTAACCAACGGATGGAGATTTTTCAATGTTGCCATACCTGAGACCACAGAATTGATAGGTTGGCGACATCTTAAAATGATTACTTCAAAGAGTTCTGTAGTAGGACATCTGTTTCCACTAAATTAATGTATTTTGTTTACTTATTTTATGAAAGTAATGAGGCTGAGTGCAGTCATGCCTGTAATCCCAGCACTTTGGGAGGCCACGGCAGGCGGATCACCTGAAGTGAAGAGGTCCAGACCAGCCTGGCCAACATGGTGAAACCGTTTGTACTAAAAATACAAAAAATTAGCTGAATCTGTAGTCCCAGCTACTAGGGAGGCTGAGGCAGGGGAATCACTTGAACCCAGAAGGCAGAGGTTGCCGTGAGCTGAGATTGTGCCTCTGTACTCCAGCCTGGATGACAGAGCAAAACTCTACCAAAAAAGAAAGTAATGAAATTAAGATTTCTTTAGGGTGGCAAGATTTTGCTTTCACAAGTAATTGATACCTCACATTCTTTAAAGTGTTCGTCATTTTATGCCATTTAACGTGAAGAATCCTGGGGTCAGAGTTTAAAACCTTTTCTCATGCTGATGATTAGTTTATTCAAAGAAGCTGGAGGTAATGAAAACCCAGAATTCTTTCCTCCTAGTCTTTTTCAGTTTTGAAATCAAATCAGTCTTTGGCCTGAAGAGCATAGCAGTAGACAGAAATACTTGTGATCTATCTTGCAACTTGAATGTAAACTGCATTGAACAACATAAATGTGAACAATCACGCTGCAGGTCTTAAATCTTTGTTGTTAGGTTATCTGCATGACCTGACTGTAACCTCAGGAAATGCTCTTTGAACTGGTTTGTGTCACCTCACACTTTTCTTGTCGGAAATAATTCTAGTAATAATGATTCTAGCTTTACAATGTCTATAAGCGCTGCTTAGTCAATTAACTGCATCTGATATTCTCAAGAACAAACTGTTGATTTCGTATGTCTTTTCTTGTTTCTGAAGTGCCAATTAGTCCAGGTTTCCGTGCTGAGCACTCCTGATGGCTTCCTGTGGACTGCAAAGTGATTTTGCAGTAAAATCAGCTCCTGATTTTACTCTGTGCTAGATTTCTTTCTTTGGATTAGAGGTGTTTTCCGAATGCGGTGGGGTTTTTTCTCGTTTTATATTTTGAAAGAACTTGACAGGTCTGACCTAGAGAGTTTTTAAAGCTCTGTAAGACCAGTGTGCTGCTCTGCTTTGTAGGAGTCATTCCTAGACAAAGGCAGCGTGAAAGCCCTAGTAGGTTAAAGATTTCTCACTATCACAGCACACACTTCATGTGAGCATTCCTTGCTGTTGAATCCGTTGAGCTCCTGAATTTGGATGGAAAGATTTTGGATGTAGTAAGTTCAGACAGTAAAGTGTTAATCCAAATACATGTAGTTTCTGAGTTTCAGATAATGAGGGATGTCTCAAATTTATCCATGTCTCTTTGGTTTCTAGGTATAGATAAGAATAGTCAGATTGTGAGGCATACCTATAATTTGTTGTTAAGGTGGCATCTGGTGGTGAGGTAAAAAACCTCCATTTCTAGTCAGGTGCTGTGGTTCATGCCTGTAATCCCAGCACTTTGGGAGGCCGAGGTGGGTGGATCACCTGAGATCAGGAGTTGAGATCAACCTGATCAACATGGCAAAACCCCGTCACTACTAAAAATACAAAAAAATCAGTCGGGTGTGGTGGCACATGCCTGTAATCCCAGCTACTCGGGAGGTTGAGACAGGAGAATCACTTGAACCTGGGAGGCGGAGGTTGCAGTGAGCTGGGACAGGGCCACTGCTCTCCAGCCTGGGCGACAGGGTGAGACTCTGTCTTGGCGGGGAGAAGATTCTGATAAAATGCTGTGAAGATCATCTGCAGACCTTGTTAAAATGAAGTCTGAGTCAGGGTAGGGGGTGGGGTCTGAGATCCTTTCTAGGCAGTTCTCACGGGGAGCCAATGCTGCCTGTGCAAGGACCACCATCCAGCAGCAAAGATCCACTGTACTTCGCAGACAAGGAAGCTGGCCGGAGAGGGAGTGACTTGTCCAGGGTGACAGGGCAGGGTGGCATATATGAAGCTAAGGGCCCGGGAATGTGCATGCAGCTGTTTTGCCAAAATTTGGTCCCCTCCTTAAGCTGACCCCGGATAGTGTCTACTATTTATTTTTATTTTTATTTTTTGAGACTGAATTTCATTCTATCCCCCACGCTGGAATGCAGAGGCACAAATCTGACTGCAAGCTCTGACTCCTGGGTTCAAGTGATTATCTTGCCTCAGCCACTCGAGTAGCTGGGATTACAGGCGTGTGCCACCACGCCTGGCTAATTTTTTTTGTATTTTTATTAGAAACGGGGTTTCACCACTTTGGTCAGGCTGGTCTCGAACTCCTGACCTTGTGATCCACCCACCTCAGCCTCCCAAAGTGCTGGGATTACAAGTGTGGGCCACCACACCCAGCCTTTTTATTTTATTTTTGCATTTCAATAGAATCAGCTTTATTTATGTATTAAAGCCAAAGAAACGGTCTAAAAGCAAATACATATATGTACCAAGGGATAGTGGACATGACCTGATACTTACAAGGGAACTGATGTGTCATAATGGAAACAGCATATTAGAAGAAAAAAATATATATATTTTGAGACAAAGTTTTATTCTTGTTGCCCAAGCTGGAGTGCAATGGCATGATCTCAGCTCACCGCAACTGCTTCTTAAGTTCAAGCGATTCTCCTGCCTCAGCCTCCTGAGCAGCTAGGATTACAGGCATGCGCCACCACACCCAGCTAATTTTGTATTTTTAGTAGAGATGGGGTTTTGCCATGTTGGTCGGGGTAGTCTCAATCTCCCAACCTAAGGTGATCCCCGCCTTGGCCTCCCAAAGTGCTGGAATTACGGGTGTGAGCCACCTCACCTGGCCAAAAAATAGCATCTCGTGCTGTCTGCTTGAGTTATCTGGAGATGGAAGTTAAGTGAAAGGTGCTCCCACCAAGGCCATTCTCCCTCCAACAGGGTGTCTCACACAGTGGAGACAATGAGCAGATAGCACCTAAATCCCACTGACAAATAAGGTGATAAATATTTGCTTCAAGCTTGTCAAACTACGTCCTTCTAAACATGGTTTGAAAGGAAAGGCAGTGAGAAAGCCTTGGAATTTTATCAGTTACTACAAGGGAGAGAATACTTTTTTTTCAAAAATATCTGTGTGGGTGGCAGTTATTCATTCATTCATTCATTTATTTATTTCAGTTTCGCTTGTCACCCAGGCTGGAGTGCAATGTTCACTGCCACCTCTGCCTCCCGGGCTCAAGCAATTCTCTTGCCTCAGCCTCCTGAGTAGCTGGAATTACAGGCATCTGCCACGCCTGGCTAATTTACATTTCTAGCAGAGAAGGGGTTTAACCATGTTGGCCGCCAGGCTGGTCATAAACTTTTGATCTCAGATTATCCACCTGCCTCGGCTTCCCAAAGTGCTGGGATTACAGGCCTGAGCCACTGCCCCCCGTCAGATTTTTTAAACCATTCTGTGTCAATGGTGCAGATGAACTACACTTGTGCCCAGGAGAAAGCAGAAGGGCATTCGAACCTCAGGCCACCGAAGCCGACCCCTGAAACGTGAGCCATGGTGAGAAATAAGCACAGAGGCAAAGCCCCTTGCCCGGTGTCACAGGAAGTGGTGGAGCTGGAACCTGACCTAGAAGTGTCTGATGTATACAAGCATGGACCGACTCTGTAGCCTGAAACTCCAACATTATTGAAGGAAAAGAGAACCACACAAAGCTCTCCAGTGCCCAGTCTCAGCAGCTCTCCCGTCATTTCCTCCTCCCTGCCCAGGGGCTGAAAGGGCACCTGCTCAGAGGCTGCACAGGTTTCTGTCGGAGGCCTGAACGGTGTCCTGTGTAGCAGCACGAGGTTTCCCTAGCAACCCCACCAGCCAAATGCACACATTACAGAGAATGCCACAGCCTTCTCCAAGGAAAGCCTCTTCCCTGCAACCAATCACAGGAGCATCTGCCTTAATTGCCCTCCTACTCCCCGCACCTAGCAAGGGGCTGGTTTACGCTCAGGCTCCGTTGAAAGGATGAATGAACAAAAGCTTTGTCAGTCCTATGAAGAGCTTCCAATCCCCACTGGGCGTCCGCAGCACCGGGCTGCCCCTCCATAGAGCAGGTGTGTTGCTCACTAAGTAGGAAAGATCCCACGTGTTAGGGCCTGGGCCCATTTTGGCCTCTATCCCTAACGCAGCTCAGCGTGCTGCACTTAGTAGGTGCTCAGATCTGAAATAAACCAGGGTTTCTTTTTATCCTTGACAGTTTTGCTCTCATTGCTCAGGCTGGAGTAGTGACATGATCTTGGTTCACTGCAACCTCCAACTCCCTGGTTAGACTTTCTCCTGCCTCAGCCTCCTGAGTAGCTGGGATTACAGGCACACACCACACCCCGCTAATGTTTGTATTTTTAATAGAGACAGGGTTTCACCATGTCAGCCAGGATGGTCTCAAACTCCTGACCTCAGGTGATTCACCTTTCTAGGCCTCCCAAGGTGCTGGGATTATAGGCATGAGCCACCACGCCAGCCTTAAACCAAGGTTTCTAAGATGCTCTCAGCCTCCTCAGATCTGGCCCAGCCCACCTTTCCACCTTACCTTTTCTGCACAACTGCCCACAGCTAGCCCAGCCTACGCAACAGCCAGTCTGGCTCCCCCACAATGCAGAGCCGGCACTGGCCACAGGAGCCAGGCCCAGTCCCATCCAGGGCCTGCCTGCCGCAGACGAATGCTACAGACACAGCTGGTAGCACATGGCACTGTTTATTGTGACGCACGGTGGAAAACATCTGTAGACCAGCTTACTGCAGTGGTGACCGCTGCAACACATGCTCAGGCACTTTTATTATATAAAATAGAGGGGAGGGCGGGAGTTCCACCCGCTCCTTTGTGACAGCAACCGGGACCTGAATTCAGAGCCTTGTAGGCATATGCAGCTTTCGTATCGCTTCATGATTTGAGTTTGTTTCCTTTAAAAAAAAATGCCTTCTTGCCGTAAGGCTCAACACGGCATATAGAAAACGGTTAGGAATACAGGTAAATTCGGCAACCAATGTAGACCAGTGAGGACGAGCTACTCTCTTCTAAAGAAAGGCAGTGAGAAAGCCTCAGAATTTTTTTTATTAGTAGAAAAGGGAAAAAAGAAAACCTTTTTGTTTTTCTGCTTTCAAAAATATCTGCAGGTGGCAGATTTTTAACCCATACTGCATCTACCGTGCAGGTAAACTACCCTCGGGCCTGGAGGGAGACGGGATGGGGGTGGGAGGCACGTTCACAACAGTCCCAAGGTCGAGGGAGGTGTGCGGCAGGGTCTGGGAAGGGGAGGCTGCAGTGTCCGCCTGTCCATGTGTCTCAGGCTGCAGGAGAGGAGGCTTATTCAAAGGTTTGGCCTCAGCTTCATCCGCTTTGCCATCCACCTCCTCTGAGCATTTGTCGGGGCAAACGGCAGGTCCCCACGCCTGGGGACAGAGGCAGAGGCAGAGTCAGCAGGGAGTTTGTGTGCTGTGCTCCCCTGGCCAGGGAGGCCGCAGCACAGCACACAAATCCCAAAGCAAATTCGAGAGGGAAATCAGGCGCCTGGCTGCTCCCACCAGAAAGAAGCAAGGCGGAGCCTTGGGAGCCACAGCTCAGCTGGACAGGAACGCTCTCAAAAACCTCTTCCCGCAAAATATTTAGTGGTCAGACATCTTCATACACAACAGCAGCACACAAACAGTTCAGGCAAACAGGAACACTTACAACAGGAAAGGCAGAAAAGTGTAAAATGCCACCTTCTGTTCCAACTCATAAAACAGGTGACACCACAGCGGGTACACAGGTGAACCACAGCGGGTTCACACAGACAGGCACCTTCTATCCCACGGCAGGAAATTCACATCCAATACTGACTACTGATGCTTAAAAAAAGGCCCCATGAAGCCCAGACATGGAGGTGCATGCTTGTAATCCCAGCACTTTGGGAGACCGAGGCAGGTGGATCACCTGAGGTCAGGAGTTTGAGACCAGCCTGACCAACATGGTGAAACTCCATCCCTATTAAAAATAGAAAAATTAGCCAGGTGTGGTGGCAGGCTCCTGTAATCCCAGCTACTGGGGAGGCTGAGGCAGGAGAATCGCTTCAACCCAGGAGGCGGAGGCTGTAGTAAGCCAAGATTGTGCCATGGGACTCCAGCCTGGGCAATCAGAGTGAAGTCTCCAAAATAACAAAAATTCCCATGAAAAAGAGGTAAGAAATGAGAATCTCAGAAAATAAGATCCTCTGCTGCAAAGCCCCTTGCCCAGTGTCACAGGAAATGGACGTGTGATGCGGGACCCTGGTTAGAAGCTCTGGGCGTGAGGCCCACCAGCCCCACTGCCCTGCCTGCTGCCCCTCTGGATGCCCCCAGCGCCCGAACCTGGTCCTTGTAGTGCTCGGCGTTCCTCCGCTTATCATCCACCTGCAGCAGCATATCCTTCAGCTGCTTCTCTGTCCGACGCACCTGCTTACAGGCTGCCTGGCGCTCCCTGTGTGGTAGACAAGGTGGCTCAGAGGGAACACCCTCCTTCAGAGGGTCAGGCCAACACATCCTAATCTGGTCACCCCACCCATTCCCCGGGCCTCACTGGCATCTAGGGATCACCTAGGGAGGCCTTTGCTGGACGCCTATGACGTGCCTGGCTTCTTACAAGGGGCACTGCAAATAGTCCCATTTACAAATGAGGAAACAGGCCTCAAAGAGCATCTATGTAGCTGGAAAAGAGGTTTGGGGCCTGGTGTAACTCCCATTGTCTCAGTCCTGCTGAGCCCAGAGATCAGCTGTCCTGGTGGGCAGGACCGCCCTCTACCTCCTCATCCTTAGACATAGCGACCAAAGCTCCTGGCTTTAGAGGTGGAACAGATGATCCTGTTCAAACCCCACAAGCTCCCCCCACCACCCATCCAGTGGAAGGGATAAGGGCCCCATCAGGAGGGAGGAAAACAGCCCCCAGGACTGAGAAGACACAGCTACACAGCTGGTTGCTGACCCAAATCTGGGCAGGACTACAGAGGGGCTGGAGGTTTCTCCAGGCCAGTGGGGGTGGAAGCAGGGGCAGGAGCACGTACTTGGTCTCATTCTCCAGTTGCTCCTCCAGCTGTGCGATCTTGGCCTCGAGGGCAGTGAGGGAGGCCTTGTACATTAACTTCACAGAGCCCTCCACCTCCTGCAGCTGGACCTTGAGCTCCTCGTTCTGCTGCTCCAGTTCCTGCCGAGCGTTCTCGATCTTCTGGGCGTGGCTGCGCTCCAGGTTCAGGTCAGTGTTGATCTGGTCGATCTGCAGGAGGAGGGCTGGTGACCTAGGGGAGGGCTGGGCCCTGGCTAAAGGGTATAAGCAGGGCAGGAGGAAGGTGGCAGCAGGATGCCACCACACCCTCGACACCCAGCAAAGAAGCCGGAGAGTGATCTTTCATGTTGTTGCCTGGACATACTCCCTCAAGCGGTGGGGAAGCGGCGGCACGTGGCCTGTGCATCTGCTGGCTAGGTCCGAGGCCAGCTCCACCAGGGTGGCTCCAGAGCCGAATGGGAGAAGGCTGGCCGGCACTGGCACTCACCTGCAGGATGGCCTTCTGCAGGCGGTCATAGATCAGCTTCGTGTTGCCCTGCTCCTCCTCCAGCTCCTCGATTAGGGCTGCCAGGGCTCTGTGGGGTGGGTGGGAGCAGTGAGGGGCCCAGCCCAGGGACACACCTGGTCCCTCCCAACTCTGCCCCCTTACTTAGCTCACCCTTTGCCGCGGCTGTTGGCGATCTCGTCGGCCAGCTCGTCCCGCTCCTGCTGGGCCTGGCGCTTGGCACGCTCCGCGGCTGCCAGTTCCTGCCACAAAGATCCAGAATGTGACCTGAAGGCAGCCACAGCCCCACAAGACCATCCTTCCCAGCCCTGGGCACCCTCCTCTCAAGCCCTTCCCCAGCCCCACTTCCCCAGAAAGCTCTTCCTCCACGATTCCTCTAGCTCACAGGGCTGGTGGCCCCCCAAAGTCATAGCTTAAAAGCATTGTATGTTCACAAAACTCAACTACATTTAAGTGCTAGGAATCAAGCCAGGTGCCAGGGTGTGTTGATGACTTAACAAGTGTCCTGGCCTAACCAGGGCAGACCACATGGACAGAGCCGCTCACTGCTGCCCCAGCCCTGTTCTGGGTAGCCAGAGCCCAGAGTCAGCTCCGGAGCCTGCAGGCAGGAGACGGCTGTACCCTGGACGCACTCACACCCCACAAGTTACACTGCAGGGCACCCTCTAGACCCAGGGAACACTTCAGGACTGGCTCAGGTGCGACACGGACAGGGCAGCCACGGGAATGCTGAGACCCTCCGTCACCAGGACACAGTCACGGTAGGAGGTGGTGGCAGCCATGGAGCCTCATCTGATGTGAGGCATTTCACTCACACACAATCTCATACCAAGGAGGCCCACTATGTAACGGAACCCTGGAGGGAATCCTTTTGTAACGCAAGAGCTGTCCACAGCCAATTCCTGGAGCTGAGTCGGACCTTAGCCCTGCCCTCTGCTGAAAGCCCTGTGCTGCCACCTGCTGGCTGCCGGGCAGCAGTGCCGCTCTCCGCTGCCGCCCCACCCACCTCCTCCAGCTGGATCATCTTGGCCTCCATGATCTTCAGGTTCCTCTCATTCTCTTTGGCCTGGGCCAGGATCTCCTCACGAGAGGCGCGGGTGTCATCCAGCTCACGCGTGCAGTCGTTGACCTGGGCCTGGGGCAGGGACAGAGGCTTGGCGCCCCACCCAGGTCCTTGGCCCTCGGCCCTCCACCCCCACCCTCCCACGTCATCTCACACACAGGGTTGTTGGCTGTGCTCTGCTCAATATTTAACCAACTAACCGTGGTGACAGGGAGAAAAAGCAACTGAGGACAAAAATCTGTGTCCCACTTCATAACGCACACTGACAGTGTTGGTCACAGTGGACGCAAGCCCAAGCTGAGCTTCATTTTCCACTTCTGTCCCCTCTGTAGGCCGGAGACCAGTGCCCACGGTGCACGGTGCCACCCCTAATGCGCACCTGCCGCTTGAAACCAGTGCCCAGCCTGGCAGGTGTCCCCACCACAGGCAGGAAACACCTTTCCTTTTGTTACTCATCTCCTATTTGTTTTAATGCTAAAGATTTTTGTCAAATACTTTTTTTTTCCATTTGCAGATAACTCCAAAAACAGATTCCCCAAGCCAAAGCGCATGAACGGGTGTGTGCAGCCAGACCGCAGCAGCAGAACATGCCAACAGCAGAGTATCTGTGCCCCACAACCTTGCCCACAGTTAGCTTTTACAGATTTTTGTTTTTTGCCCAGGCACAGCAGCTAACACCTGTAATCCCAGCACTTTGGGAGGCCGAGGCTGTCAAGATCACGAGGTCAGGAGTTCGAGACCACCCTGACCAACTCAGTGAACCACTGTCTCTACTAAAAATACAAAAATTAGCCAGGCATGGGGACACACACCTATAATCCCAGCTACTCGGGAGGCTGAGGCAGGAGAATCACCTGAACCCAGGAGGCAGAGGTTGTGGTAACACAAGATTGCGCCACTGCACTCCAGCCTGGGCAAAAGAGCAAGACTACTATTTTAAATCTAGGGTTATTCTTGCTACATGAGATGACATATCAGAGCTGTTTTTATGTGTTCATTGTTCTTCAATTATTGGTGAGGTGAAAATTTCCAAGTATGTATCCCACACTCTAGGCTGCTTCTCGGAACCATCATGCCGGAGCCCAGAAGGCTGGAGCGTCAGGACGCGGCTGATGCTGGAGTCTGCACTGGGTGAGGCCTTCTGAACTCCCCCATGCCTGGGCCTGCACTTGCCTGTTTGCTTCTGTGTTTCATGTACTCAGCCATGCACCGTTCTGCAAGTTTGCTGTTGGACTATTGTTTCCACTCACCTCTGAGCCTGTGTCTCCATCAGTGAGATTGGACTGGAAGCACCCAAAACCTCCCCAAGAGGCACCACCCTGCCAGGTTCCTGCCCCAGTGCCCTGGCATGTAGCTGGCTCAGCTGGGCACCGCCCGCCCTCACCCGCCACTTCTGCAGCTGCTCGATGGCTTCATCCCGGTTCTTGTTGGCTGAGTCGATGTCAGCCTCCAGGTCCATCTCCAGCTTCTTCCGGGCGGCCACTGCCATGGAGTGCCACTTCCTCTCGTCCTCCAGCTCTGCCTCCATCTCCCGCACCTGGAGGAAGGAACGCCGACAGCTTGGAAAGCTGGACCCACTCAGAGACCCTGCTCTGGCTCTGAACCCAGGTGCCTCTGCAGGATCTGAGGGGCCTCCGGAAGCCAGTGGCGATTACTGACTCGAAGAACTCTAAGAAGGTGAGTTGCTGACCCAAATGACAGGGGACTGGACAGGAGAGACAGGGGAGGGGAGGCGTGGTCCAGGGCCCTAACACAATTCAGGTGAAGGAGGAAATGGAAGCCTGCATGAAGCCAGGGCAACCCTGGCCACCGTGGGGTGGCAGGAGCCCACGCACACCTGTCTGACCAGCTGCTGCTGCTTCTCCTCACTCTGCTCATCCCGGTCCTGCAGGTCCCGCTCGAACTGGATCTTCATGGCCTGCAGGTTGACCTCCAGCCGCAGATTGGCGTTTTCAGTGTCCTGCAGCTCATCCTCCAGCTCCTCCAGCTGGGTCTTCAACTCCTCCACCTGCTGCTCCAGAAGCCGCCTGGACTTCAGCTCATGGACCTGAGCCCCAGAGATCCCAAGTCAGGAGCAAAGAGACCGGCAGGGACCTGGGTCTGCTAGACCCGGAACGTGTGTATGCGTTGACCCTCTGTGATGACCCCGCTCGGGCCCCTCGCAAGGCCTGGCTGCCGGGCCCGGCACTCACCCTCTTGCCCTTGGAGCTCATGAGGTCCTCCATCTCCACACGGAACTGCTTGTTGAGCCGCTCCGGCTCCACTTTCTGCTCCATGGCTTCCTCCAGGGCCCGGGCCAGCGACAGCACCTTGGTCTCCTTCTCTCCGGCCTCGGCCTTGGCCCGGTCACGCTCCTCTGCATACTTGGCAGAGATGGTCTTCTCCTCTGCCAGGAGCTGGGAAAGAGGGGCACCATGAGGCTAAGCCCCACAGGCTCCCAGCTACAGCCCCCAGCAGGGCAGAGCAGCTGGACCCAGGCTAATTTTTGTATTCTTAGTAGAGATGGGGTTTCACCATGTTGGCCAGGCTGCTCTCGAACTCTTGACCTGGTGATCTGCCCACCTCGGCTTCCCAAAGTTCTGGGCTTATAGGCATATAAGCCCATGCCCAGTCAAGAGTGCATGCTTTAGAGTATACAGGCCCCACAGTCTCTGCAGTAACTCAACCCCACTACCACAGCGCAACAACCAGAGATGACACAAGAATGACACAGTGTGTGTGTGCATTCGGTCCAGCTTTGGTTCCCCAAAACGCAGCGGGCTGGACCCAGCCGCCGCAGTTCCATGCTCGATGTCTATCCCGCCCCGGTGTTCACATCTCTCTCAGCTTCCCGCAGATCTTTTGGAATAAGGAAGCAATATGAATGCACAAATAAATGATGTAAATGGCAGGAAAACCAGTTCATTATAGAAAATCTGAAAAAAAAACATGAAAACCCAGAAAGGAAAAGTTCCTCCTCAACCCACTGCATGAAGACACCCTCTTCCGCTGGCCTTCTCCCCCAGCCCCTCAACAAGCCAGAGACTAAGGGTCCTCTAAGGGCTGGCCCCACATGACCCCTCCTGGGCAAGGTCTCGAGGGAGCCCAGGCTTTCTCTGATGAGGCCCCCACCTTGGGCTGAGTGCCGGAAGGAGAGAAAATGCAAAGGATGGGGTGGATGGCTACACACCTGGTCAAACTTCTGCTGCAGCTTCTCCAGGTGGCACGCCATCTGGCGCTGGTGGTCCAGGACCACGAGCAGGTCGTCCCGCTCCTGCTGGGCCTGGCGCTTGGCACACTCCGCGGCTGCCAGTTCCTGCCACAAAGATCCAGAATGTGACCTGAAGGCAGCCACAGCCCCACAAGACCATCCTTCCCAGCCCTGGGCACCCTCCTCTCAAGCCCTTCCCCAGCCCCACTTCCCCAGAAAGCTCTTCCTCCACGATTCCTCTAGCTCACAGGGCTGGTGGCCCCCTAAAGTCATAGCTTAAAAGCATTGTATGTTTATAAAACTCAACTACATTTAAGTGCTAGGAATCAAGCCAGGTGCCAGGGTGTGTTGATGACTAACAAGTGTCCTGGCCTAACCAGGGCAGACTACATGGACAGAGCCACTCACTGCTGCCCCGGCCCTGTTCTGGGTAGCCAGAGCCCAGAGTCAGCTCCGGAGCCTGCAGGCAGGAGACGGCTGTACCCTGGATGCACTCACACCCGGCAAGTTACGCTGCAGGGCACCCTCTAGACCCAGGGAACACTTCAGGACTGGCTCAGGTGCGACACGGACAGGGCAGCCACGGGAAAGCTGAGAACCTCCGTCACCAGGACACTGTCACGGTAGGAGGTGGTGGCAGCCATGGAGCCTCATCTGATGTGAGGCATTTCCCTCACACACAATCTCATACCAGGGAGGCCCGCTATGTAACGGAACCCTGGAGGGAATCCTTTTGTAACGTGAGAGCTGTCCCCAGCCAATTCCTGGAGCTGAGTCGGACCTTAGCCCTGCCCTCTGCTGAAAGCCCTGTGCTGCCACCTGCTGGCTGCCGGGCAGCAATGCCGCTCTCCGCTGCCGCCCCACCCACCTCCTCCAGCTGGATCATCTGGGCCTCCAGGCTCTTCAGGTTCCTCTCATTCTCTTTGGCCTGGGCCAGGATCTCCTCACGAGAGGCGCGGGTGTCATCCAGCTCATGCGTGCAGTCTTTGACCTGGGCCTGGGGCAGGGACAGAGGCTTGGCGCCCCACCCAGGTCCTTGGCCCTCGACCCTCCACCCCCACCCTTACACGTCATCTCTCACACAGGGTTGTTGGCTGTGCTCTGCTCGATATTTAACCAACTAACCGTGGTGACAGGGAGAAAAAGCAACTGAGGACAAAAATCTGTGTCCCATTTCATAACGCACACTGTTGGTCACTGTGGACACAAGCCCAGGCTGAGCTTCATTTTCCACTTCTGTCCCCTCTGTGGGCCGGAGACCTGTGCCCACGGTGCCACCCCTAATGCGCACCTGCTGCTTCAAACCAGTGCCCAGCCTGGCAGGTGTCCCCACCACAGGCAGGAAACACCTTTCCTTTTGTTACTCACCTCCTATTCGTTTTAATGCTAAAGATTTTTGTCAAATACTCTTTTTTTCCATTTGCAGATAACTCCAAAAACAGATTCCCCAAGCCAAAGCTCATGAACGGGTGTGTGCAGCCAGACCACAGCAGCAGAACATGTAACATGCCCACAGTTAGCTTTTACAGATTCTTTTTTGCCCAGGCACAGCAGCTAACACTTTGGGAGGCCGAGGCTGTCAGATCAGGAGGTCAGGAGTTTGAGACTACCCTGGCCAACACAGTGAACCACTGTCTCTACTAAAAATACAAAAATTAGCCAGGCATGGGGACACACACCTATAATCCCAGCTACTCGGGAGGCTGAGGCAGGAGAATCACCTGAACCCAGGAGGCAGAGGTTGTGGTAACACAAGATTGCGCCACTGCACTCCAGCCTGGGCAAAAGAGCAAGACTACTATTTTAAATCTAGGGTTATTCTTGCTACATGAGATGACATATCAGAGCTATTTTTATGTGTTCATTGTTCTTCAATTATTGGTGAGGTGAAAATTTCCAAGTATGTATCCCACACTCTAGGCTGCTTCTCGGAACCATCACGCCGGAGCCCAGAAGGCTGGAGCGTCAGGACGCGGCTGATGCTGGAGTCTGCACTGGGTGAGGCCTTCTGAACTCCCCCATGCCTGGGCCTGCACTTGCCTGTTTGCTTCTGTGTTTCATGTACTCAGCCATGCACCGTTCTGCAAGTTTGCTGTTGGACTATTGTTTCCACTCACCTCTGAGCCTGTGTCTCCATCAGTGAGATTGGACTGGAAGCACCCAAAACCTCCCCAAGAGGAACCACCCTGCCAGGTTCCCGCCCCAGCACCCTCGCATGTAGCTGGCTCAGCTGGGCACCGCCCGCCCTCACCTGACACTTCCGCATCTGCTCGATGGCTCTATCCCGCTTCCTGTTAACCAAGTTGATGTGCGCCTCCTGGTGCATCTTCAGCTTCGTCCAGGTGGCCAGTGCCTTGGAGTGCCACTTCCTCTCGTCCCCCAGCGCTGCCTTCATCTCCCGTACCTGGAATGCCGACAGCTTGGGAAGCTGGACCCACTCAGAGACCCTGCTCTGGCTCTGAACCCAGGTGCCTCTGCAGGATCTGTGGGGCCTCCAGAAGCCAGTGGGGATTACTGACTCTGATAACAATAAGAAGGTGAGTTGCTGACCCGAGGGACAGGGGACTGGACAGGAGAGACAGGGGAGGGGAGGCGTGGTCCAGGGCAACCCTGACCACCGTGGGGTAGCAGGAGCCCACGCATACCTGTCTGACCAGCTGCTGCTGCTTGTCCCGGTCCTGCAGGTCCCGCTCAAACTGAACTTTCATGGCCTGCAGGTTGACCTCAAGCTGCAGATTGGCATCTTCAGTGTCCCGCAACTTATCCTCCAGCTCCTCCATCTGGGTCTCCATCTCCTCCACCTGCTGCTTCAGAGCCTGCCTGGACTTCAGCTTATAGACCTGAGCCCCAGAGAGCCCAAGTCAGGAGCAAAGGGACTGGCAGGGACCTGGGACTGCTAGACCCGGAACGTGTGTATGTGTTGCCCTCTGTGATGACCCCGCTCGGGCCCCTCCCAAGGCCTGGCTGCCAGGCCCAGCACTCACGCTCTGGCCCTTGGAGATCCTGATGTCCTCCATCTCCATGCGGAACTGCTTGTTGAGCTGCTCCAGCTCCACCTTCTGCTCCATTACTTCCTCCAGGGCCTGGGCCAGCGACAGCGCCTTGGTCTCATTCTCTCGGGCCTCAGCCTTGGCCCAGTCACGCTCCTCTGCACACTTGGCAGAGATGGTCTTCTCCTCTGCCAGGAGCTGGGAAAGAGGGGCACCATGAGGCTCAGCCCCACAGGCTCCGAGCTACAGCCCCCAGCAGGGCAGAGCAGCTGGGCCCAAGCTAATTTTTGTATTCTTAGTACAGATGGGGTTTCACCATGTTGGCCAGGCTTCCCTCAGATCTTTTGGAATAAGGAAGCAATATGAGTGCACAAATACATGGTGTAAATGGCAGGAAAACCACTTGATTATAGAAAATCTGAAAAACGTGAAAACCCAGTTCCTCCTCAACCCATGAAGACACCCTCTTCCGCTGGCCTTCTCCCCCAGCCTCTGAACAAGCCAGAGACTAGGGGTCCTCTAAGTGCTGGCCCCACACGACCCCTCCCGCGCAAACTCTCGAGGGAGCCCAGGGTTTCTCTGATGAGGCCATCTTGGGCTGAGTGCCGGAAGGAGAGGAAATGCAAAGGATGGGGTGAATGGCTACACACCTGGTCAAACCTCTTCTGCTTCTCCTCCAGGTTGCACACCCTCTGGCACTGGTTGTCCAGCTCCTGCTGCAGCCATGTCTTGGTATTCTCCATCTCCTCGTACCGCTGGCTCAGGCCCTCCAGGTCCTCCCGGACCTGCCCCTTCACCTCCTCTGCGGTTTCCAGGCACCCCACACTGTCAATTCTCTTCTTCATGTCGGCCACCTGGGCAGGAGCAAGGAGTAAGCAGATGCCCGAGATGGCACACACCTGTCCCTGGGGCAGCTAAGAGCCTGCCTGCCACACTGTGAAAGGGGAACCAGGGATCTCCATGCGGGGGAGACAAATGAAGTTTCTGCAGAAAGGCATCCATCTAGTGTGTGAAGCTGCAGGGAGGCTGACTCCTAGGCCCACTGTGGGGACTCCAAGCCCTCATCCACACCAAGCCTCTCGCTCTCTGGGGGACCACTCCCCGACAGCAAGGCTAGTGCCCTGTGAGGGTGTACACAAGGTCCCCATCACTCAACCCTTGCATCTGCAGATAAACCTGCAACCACATGCGCTCGAAGGCGACTCCTACCCTGACTTTGGAATGAACTCCCAGCCCATCCCGAGGTGGTTCCTTCTGGCCTGCCACGTAAAGGCCTAAGATAGGATCTACGACAGTCTATAGAGAGGACTAGGGACTCCTTCTCATGACAATGTTTCAACAGGCATGAAATAAACATAAGGAATCACCCAGGCAACCAGTATAGAGAAATGCAGTTGCCATCACTCAGGAAGCCATGTGACCCCAGGTAGCACATCACATAGCAAACTCAGCGCAGGCCTGGCAATCACGAGGACAAAGAGCTCAGCCATGACCCTGACAGGGTAACTGGCCATTTCTCCAGGTGACAAGGGCGCAGGGACTGCCAGCACCATGGCTTGTGACTACGTTCATAATGGAAGCAGTGCTACATTGTAGCTAGACTGGCGAACATTAAGTGAAAAATAGCAGTGAAAATAGTGGTGTCCCCCATCTAAGTCCACAGACCCGTGGATTCCTCTCTTATGGACTCAGGCTAAGAGCACTGACATAGGACAGCGGGGGGGGGGGTTCCCTAAGAAAGAGGGCAATGGGCTGGCCCAGCGGTAGGCTGTCCTGCAGTGCCCAGGCCAGCAGCTCTCCTGATTATTTAACTGAAAAAATTCTTTTCATCCTCCACCTGCTTGAGCTTGGTGCTCAGGCCCAGCTTCTGCCGGTTCTCCTCCTGCAGCAGCTCCTAATCCCGGGATGAGATGAATGTGGGTGCTCAGGAGAGCAACCTCATCATTGTGAGACAGTCACCTTAAGGACCGGCTAATACAGAAAGGCACTTTATATAGAAACAAGAAGTACCAAACCTCAGAGTGCTCAGGTTTCTGAACCCCAGAAACCCCACACCCTACAGAAAAAAAAGGAGCCGGTCCTGCTGATTCACGGGATGATCATGTAAAGACCTGGTGAAAGCTGGGAGCACGCAGAGACTGCCCCTCCAGGATGAAAAGGAGAATGGGCAATCTGACCAGCTCTAGAGCTAATAGGCAGAGGGGCCTTCCTAAAGGAGTCCACCTTCCAAGAACCTGAATTTCCATGGGATATTGAGCAAGTCCATGTTGGCTGCCAAATACAAAATTGTTTTTCAGGAAGAAAATGTTGCTACTGAGAAATAGGCTCACTACTAGCTTGTCAGTGATGTCACCTTTTGTCCGACATCATCAATCAGGCCTCAGTTGGTCATAAGCTCCAGTGAGTGGTAGCTGGAGTCCATGACAGCTGAGGCCGGATTCACAGCGGCAGTCAAAAATGATAGTCCCTTGATATTCTAGAAGCCCCAAAGACATCTCTCTTCAAGACAAACAAATACATCTTACCACGTGAGGTGACGTCTCCTCCAGAGGCCCCTCGGTCGTACCCTCCTCCGGGTCTTGAACGGGAGCTAGGAGGAAACAGAGAGACAGTCAGTGCACTGGTGCTGCTGAGGAATCCCACCAGGAGGCTTGGGGGATGTGGACCGAAGCTGCAGTGTACGGAGCTGCGCTGCCGACAAGCATGGACTGAGCTGCTCATGGACCACTCTCCTTGGTGTTGAAGGAAGGCAAAGGACAGGGGCACAAATGAACCAAAGAGCCTTGGGCTTTCTAGCTATGGCAACCTCATCACTGTGAGACAGTCACCTTAAGGACCGGCTAATACAGAAAGGCACTGTATATAGAAACAAGAAGTACATTAGGGCTGCCTAGAACCGGGGTGCAAGGTTGGGAAAAACAGAGGGGTGTCTACTAACGAGGTTTCTTTGAGGAGGAATGAAGAGGTTTTGAAATTAGATTGTAACATGCATGCATAGCCTATAAATATAGTAAAAACACCAATCACCCACTCTAAATGGGTGAATCGGGTTGCGGGTCAACTACATCCCAATGAAGCCATGTTCAACAGAGAATACGTACGGTGGTGATATTCACAGGCTGCATCCTCCTGCAGTAAGAGGGAGGAAAAAAACCATCGTGAGGATGAGATCATACTGGGTCCCGACTGCACGGGTCTTTTATTCACTTGGTGGTGTTAGAAAACCAGGTATCAAACAGTGATCAAGTCACTGATCCCCAAATACAGCCTAGAGGATGCCTGGAGAAAGGGCTGTGGGTTTCTGTCTTTGGTTTTGGACAGATTCTTGCTCTGTCACCCAGGCTGGAGTGCAGTGGCATGATCTCGGCTCACTGCAACCTCAGCTTCCCGGGTTCAAGCATTTCTCCTGCCTCACTCAGCCTTCCAAGTAGCTGTGACCACAGGCGCCTGCCACCACGCCCGGCTAGTGTTTGCATTTATAGTAGAGATGGGGTTTCATTATGTTGGCCCTGTCTGCCTCAGCCTCCCAAAGTGCTGGGATTCCATGTGTGAGCCACCCAGGCAGTAGGTTTCCATGGGATACTGAGCAAGTCCATGTTGGCTGCCAAATACAAAATTATTTTTCAGGAAGAAAATGTTGCTACTGAGAAATAGGCTCACTACTAGCTTGTCAGTGATGTCACCTTTTGTCCGACATCATCAATCAGGCCTCAGTTGGTCATAAGCTCCAGTGACTGGTAGCTGGAATCCATGACAGCTGAGGCCGGATTCACAGCGGCAGTCAAAAATGATAGTCCCTTGATATTCTAGATGTCTAGAATTTTTTTCAAGACAAAGAAATGCATCTTACCACGTGAGGTGACGTCTCCTCCCGAGGCCTCTCAGTCGTACCCTCCTCCGGGTCTTGAACGGGAGCTAGGAGGAAACAGAGAGATAGTCAGTGCACTGGTGCTGCTGAGGAATCCCACGAGGAAGCTTTGGGGGATGTGGACCGAAGCTGCAGTGTACGGAGCTGCGCTGCTGACAAGCATGAACTGAGCTGCTCCTGGACCACTCTTCCTGGTGTTGACAGAAGGCAAAGGAAAAACGAAAGAGCCTTGGGCTTTCTAGCTACGGCAACCTCATCACTGTGAAACAGTCTGAGAACCGGTTAACACAGAAAGACACTGCATGGCTCAGCGAGAGCATCTCATCAGACCTGCTGCCCACGTGAAGGTCTATGCGAATCCCAACATTTTATGAAACTTTACAGGATTATTTAACTTCTGTGGATCTGCATATCCTGATACTACAATTATCTATCCTGTTGTATTTTTAAAATTGTAGTAAAGCATACATATTTATTATTTGAGTTATTAACTGTGCATTTTAATGCACAACATTCATGATGCTGTGTCAATAATGAGAAAAATCTAAATTCATAATCTAGCTTCCACCTTGGGCAATGAAAGAAAAACAGCAGTGTAATGTCAAATAGAGGAAAAACACATAATGATTGCAGAAATTAAAGGAATAAAAAACAGGAAATCGTCAGAGAAAATCAACAAAACCAAAAACTAGTTCTTTGAAAAGATCAAAAACATTGATAAACCTGTCCCTTTTCTATCCAGAAAGGAAAAGAAGGAAGTCACGATGGATGCTGGATGCGTAACTGTAAACACATCTGTGCTCACACTTGGATACATTATATGAAATGAGCTAATTTTCTGGATCTGTTTCAGAAGGTTAAAAGTCTTCTCAGGATAAATGAATCATCTGAATAGGTCTATATTTAATTTAGAAATTGAATCAATAATTAGTATCCTCTCAAAAAAAAAAAAACAACAAAACACTACCTTCAGATGAATTCACCGGTAAATTCTACCAAAATTCTCACAAAGAAAGGTAGTCTTACCATACAAGCAAGTAACCATAATTTTAGCATTGCCTTAGTTACATTGTAAAAATTATGTTTCCAAACAAGACACAAGAAGGTTTATACCTGCTGTATTCATAATTGCCCAAACTGAAAGCAAAGGTCTAAGTATTCGAGACGTCCTTTACTATCAAAAGTGAACCAAGCCTGGGAAACATGGTGAAATCCTGTCTCTACAAAAAAAGTAACATTAAAAAAAAAAAATAGCTTGGTATAACAGCATGTGCATTACAGCTAACTGCTTGGGAGGCTGAGGTAGAAGGATCAGCTGAACATGGGGAGGTCAAGATTGCAATGAGCTGTGATTGCACCAATGCACTCCTGGGTGACAAAATGAGACCTTCTCACAAAAATAAAGAAACAAAAAGAACCAAACTCTAAGTTGTCAACGTAACTTTCCTTGTGTAGTTGCATCACCCGTTGATTAAATGCATTTCAATGGGCACGAACGAAATAAATGAAGAACCTGACATAGCATTTACTGAGTTTCTCTGATATGGGACACTGGAGGAGTAAACTGAAATTATTTGCTTCAATAAACTTAATGATATAATTTCCACCCTACCTTCATTTTCTTTGCGGCAAATTTTTTTACGCCTCCTTTTTGCTGCCCAGCTCCTGGCGCGGCCAGCCAAACCTGCAAGGCAGAAATGCATCATAATAAAGACAGTGCTTGACATCTTACTGGCAGAGGACCACGGAGAAATCAGTAAAAACGTTCTCAGTTTAAACTTTTGATCCTAGTTTTCACCGACTGCTTTTCAATGCGACCTGAATTAGATCTGGGTTCTAGGAAGATTTGTTTGTGCAGGCAGATACCTTTATTCAGATGAGACAATACAGAGAAGCAGAAGTTCCAAGTTACCAAAAAATAGGCTGGGTTCAAATCCTACTTAGAATCTGCACATACCTGGGAGAGGGATATGAACCCATCTGTGCCTCTCTTCCCTATTCTCAGATGTGGAAACATTAGTAGATCTAGGCTATAGACCTAAGGTTATAGTGTCTAAAAGAATGAAATGCAGATAAAGACTTAAATAGACTCATGTTTTTGGAAATGCCCTAAAATGTTTAATCAATGTCGAGAAGAATAATCCAGACACTTGGTAGTGGTTGAATACAGAGAGGGAGCTTGCATGTCTCTGCGCAGGGTTAGGATGGAAAGTGACTTCACAGTTTCTATGGCCACATGATTTCCAGCTCATGACAGAGATCTCTGATTTCCCTGATCCCCAAGTCAGCCCCAAGGGATAGGCAGGGAAGGGGCTACAACCCGTATTTTCAAATTCAGTGAATTCAAATTCAGACATTTTGAGTGACTTGCCCAGTCACCACAGTGAGGAGTGATAGGTCTGAGGTAATCATGTGGTTGGTTCCCCGGGGAGAGAGATCCCGGAACACCTGAGTCCTCTAGATCATGCCCTGGACCCTGGACCGAGAGCTCTTCTCACAAGCTCTGTGAAATCCTGCTGCCCCAGTGTTTCTGTGGGATGGTTGAGGCTATGGAGAGGTCGCAGGTGGCTTACCGCAGTTACTGACCTACTCTATTATCCCTATGTTGTCACTTTTAGTAGTTTTATGACCCATAAGGCAAACATTTTAAGTCTCAGTTATGATGCACGGTCTGAGATTTTATCTGAATCCACTCTTTCCACCATCAGGTGATTCTCATTGGCTGGGCTGGAGCTGGCCTGCCGTAAAAGAGGACACATGGCATACCACTGAGCGGCTGTGCGCCCCACTCCTGCGCATACTCTTGCCTTGCTTCTGCTTTCCCAGCTCTGACAATCCTAATTCTGGCTTCCAAACCAATCCTGTACGTCCCTCTCAGTTCTCAGACTTGCCTCAACTGTTGGATATTTTAATCACTGTTGCGACCATGACTGAACGGTGACATTTCATATGCCATAGTATATGTTTATCTTTTTACATATTTCTTAATAGCATTTAACTTATTGTTTCAGACTTTTAGGAACATTTCTGGGCTAAGTGTGCTGGCCCATGGCTGTAATCCTGACAGTTTTGGAGGTTAAGGCAGAAGAACTGCTTGAGGTCAGACGTTTGAGACCAACCTGGGCAACACAGTGAGACCTCGTTTCTAGAAAAAATCTACAAATTACCAGATGTGGCGGTGAGCCCTTGTATCCCTAGCTACATGGAAGGCTGTTGTGGGAAGATCGTTTGAGCCTAGAAGATTGAGGCTGCAGTGAGCTATGATCACGCCACTGCCTGGGTGACAAAGCAAGACCCTGTCTTTTCACAATAAAAAGCATTACTGTGTCACAAGTATCCCCATTTTATTTCTCATTATCTAATATTGCTGTTTTCATCCTGAGGCTTAATTGCTTTAGTAAGCTAAGAAAAAAAAAAGTTTTTATTTTTATTTTTAGAAAGGGTACTATTTAAAGCAGGTCATATGCATGCCCTTTTGTAAATTCCAGTTTTATATGCCATATATCTAGAATTTACACTCTTGATGTACTGAGTCTTCTTCTTAGAACCAGCCTCCTCTTATGTAACACAGTATAATTCCCATTTTACACCTGACTCGAAACATTGAGAGGATAGAATAAAATGAAAGAGCAGTCTGTATACCACGTAATGCACAATGAATCACAAAGCGAAGTTTTCTCCAACTCAAAGGCGACAAGTGCACAGTTAGCGTCCTCTGCAGAACCCATAGCAAAATGAAATTTTGAGAAAATATGCACTTTGGCTGCCCAGTGAAGTTAGAAGGAAACTGTCACAGGTCATCATCAAGACTTCCCCAACATTGGCTTTTATTTTTAAATAATGAAATACACATGATTTCGCCTGCTTTCTTCGTGTATATTACTGCATGTTCTCTTTGCTTTTCTGCATACCCTATCTTGGGAATCACTCCATAGCAATAAAAAGACATCTTACTCTTTTTTACAGCTCCATACTTCTCCTTTATGTAGAAATACCAGCTTATTTTTTTTTTCTTAGAAATAAACATTTAATAAGGACTGATAAACAGAAGCCATGTCTGTGTCTTGAGGGGTGGCAAGACAAGATGGTGGATCCCTGTGCCATTACCCCTCACATCCCTCAGACCGAGGGCGTGTATACCATAGGGAAGGAAGGTGTGGGACAATTGAAGGTCTTTTTACATTAAAATCTTTTTACCTATAGGCAGGGTTTAGAGTAAGTACCTGCTCTACACAGTGGCTCACAATGCCCCGCCCCACAGCCCCACCCAGGTGCTCACAATGCCCCGCCCCACAGCCCCACCCAGGTGCTCACAATACCCTGCCCCACAGCCCCACCCAGGTGCTCACAATGCCCCGCCCCCACAGCCCCACCCAGTGGCTCACAATGCCCATCCCTGCTTCTGCCCACCTGTGGTCACCTTTCCCCTCTCTGTGACATTATTCATCCTGGGCTGCCTGAGCTTTCCAGTCCTGACAAAAGTGTGTGTGTGGAGGGGAGGGTGGTTGTTATTAAGTCACCCTGGGCACTGAACTCAGTAGAAAACCCTGGTTACTAATGTCAGTTCCATTAGCATCTCTGGTTTTCTGAGTCTGGTAGCTTCCATTTGCTCAACGAACGTAGTGATACACAAATGTTTGACTGATTTTGTACCTAAATGCTCCTCTCCTGTCTTACAAGTGTTAGTTTTTGTCTTCAATTTGACCATAGCAAAAACATGAAATGTTTCCTCTCTCCTCCCCTTTTCCATCCTGTAGGAAGGGGAGCCATGAAAACAAACTCTTTTCCACAGGCAGGGTCTGGCCTTCTAACTCCAAGTCTTTACCTTCCAAATTCAAGTCTAAAGTCATTTCATCTCTTTTGGAACCTGTAACCATGAGCTAGCTCTACCTGTCTTTCAGAACAAGGAGGTAAACTAAGCCCGTGAAGTTACTGGAGTAGGGCTGAAGAGACATTCATGTCAAAGTGGGAATGTTGAAGTAATCAGAGCTCCACGGCTAAACTTTTGGGTAAAATCACAACAAAAACAACTTTTTTACAGCTCGGGCAGTAACATTTCATACCTTTTGCAGTAATTTTAAGCATGTCTCTCAATTTTTCCTTCGGTTTTTAAATTACAATTGGAAGACATAAAGCTGCTTCTGTCAAGGTGACTTAAAACCATCTATTAAGAATACCATATAATCTCTTCCATGGCAAACTCTATTTCAAATTTAACAAGTCTCCAAATATTTGAGTCTGAATTATCCCAATTATTAGCTTCTCTATCAAATAGGAGAAAAGAAATGATTGGGCCTTTGACCAGCTCCTTCACTGAGGTGCCATGGTAGCTGGACAGCCAAGGCTAGAGAATGGGATGGAGACTCCAAAACTGGAGTATCTGAATTTTCACCAGGGAAAGGGAGAGACTAGACCAAAAAGGCCTCAAGCAAGAAGGCTCAACAACGAAGACAAGAGGCAGGACTCGCCTTTGTCCCCCATGCCCAGCCCCGGGAAAGCTGGCTATAGGCAGGAGGGAGCTGGAAGCTGAGGATGTCTCTGGCTGGGGTGAGGGGATGGGAAGGAGGTGGGGAGGTGGTGGCCAGAGATGTGCCAGAGAGCAAATGGCACCCATGGCTTCTTTACCTTTGCGCCTTTTTGATTTTATGGGCTGCATGTCCTGGACCTCCACCACTCCGGGATTTAACACGGCAGGCTCTGCAGTGGTGGATGTCACAGACTGGCCACAAGGCCCGCAGCAGGCACAATTCGGGCCAGTGCTGGGGCGTAGACAATTCCCCATGTGTGATCTACAAGGGGATTTTTAAAAGAAAGGAACACAGATAAAATAAAATAAAAAAAAGAAAAGAAAAGAAAAAACAAAGCAACAGACAAAATAAAATGAAATAAAATAAAACAAAGGAAAAAACAAAGCAACAGAGCAAGCGCCAAGGGCACCAACACTTCCGTGAGAGCAGTCGGAGCTCCTCCTCCTCCCACTACCAGCTTCCGACTGAAGGCTGCTGGTCCTGGCTGATGCCTGTCCCCCACAAAGCCTCCTATGTCACCTGATTGCCAGGAAACAACAAAGTCAGGCCAGTGACTCACAATGCCACTTCTCACAACCCCATCCAATGGCTCACAATGCCCATTCCTGCTGCTGGCCACCTGTGGCCACCCTGCCCCTCTTGGTGACTGCATTATCCTGAGCTGCCTGAGATAATCCAATTTTCACTACAGGCCTCAAAAAATTCAGCAATGTCCCTTCATAGATTCTATATACAGTGTGTCTAACCTGTGAATAAAAACAAAGGCTTCATTCTGCGTGATCAAATCCACAAACACAAAGCATTTTCACAGAATCCTTTGGGGCCCACCTCTCACCTTCAGCGTCCCCTTCTTAGTTATCTGGGCTTCTGTCTTGTATGATCTGTCAGGTTCTAGGCCTTGTAAGGGTCAGTTCCATGTCTCCACTCACATGTGCCCAAGACGGTTGGCTCTTGGGAGGCTCTTCATGGTGATTGAGGCCATGGATCCTTCGCACTGTTCCTTGAATCCACTTGACACGAAATACTCATCCTGAAATGATGCTTTGAAAGCGATGCTTCCAGTCAATTGTGGGTCTACTGTATTATGGATCCCTAGTACCCAATACACGGCATATAAGAAATGAATGGAAAATGAGTGCATGGACTCAAGTGTGCCTACAAGGTGAGAGAAAAGGGTCCTACTTACTAGGTGTGCTACGAAGGCATCTGGGACCATTGGCTTTGCTATTTCATAGCAGGCCTGGGGCTTTGAAGGCTGGTATTTCCTCATTCTAAACCTCAGAGTCCAATGAATTACCACCAAGTGGACAAAGGTCCATGGGCCAGAGCTCTTGGTGTGAACAACATACCTTTTTTGGGTGTGATTCATAAACGGGGACTATACAAAACTAAAAACCATGTTTGTGTGCTGACTACCTGCAAGCCGTGGTGAGAAAACACTCTGTATACATGATCTTATTCAATGCTTGTTACAAATCCCTGAAGTGGATTTTTAGACAAACTTTCTATTCTAGAGCTTTTTGGAACAAGAGGCTAGTGTAGTGAGCTTCCACCTACTCAGCATTAGATTCAGATATTTGTTGATTTTATAGCAAATCCCACACATCATAGAATTTCCTCCCTGACCGTCTTGGTGGATGTCTGTAAAAGATACGATTCTTGTTTGTTCTTTCAACATGAGGTCTCTGTCACCCAGGCTGGAGTTCAGTGGCATGATCTTGGTTCACTGTGGCCTCTCCTGCCTCAACTTTCTCAGTAGCTGCAACTACAGACTCACACCATGCCCTGCTCATCTTTTTATTTGTATTTTAGTAGAGACAGGGTCTTGCTATGTTGCCTGGGCTGGTCTACAATTCCTGGATTCAAAGGATCTTCCCGCCTTGACCTCCCACACTACTGAGATTATAGGTGTGAACCGCCATGCCCGGAGACAAGAAGTCATTAAAAAATAGAATCCCAATACCATCATCAACCAACCATCTCACACCATTGCTCTTTATCACTGTCAGCTCTCCTTCTAGCTCCAAATTTCCAGTCATTTCATGTATTTATTGTTTGAATCAGGATCCAAATAAAGTCTCCCTTTGGGATTGTGTGATTTGCCTCTTAGGGTTTTTTTGATCCTGACAGCATCCCACTTTCATCTCTGTGCTGTCCCTTGCAATCCATTTATTGAATAAATCAGGCCATTTCCCCACACTTTGAATTATGCTAAGTGTATTCTCATTATGCTGTTTCTCATACTGTGAATTTTGCTAATTGTATCTTATGATGTTGGTTAACTTGCTCTTCACTTTGTTCTAGTTTTGATAAATTAGTTTAATCTCAAGACTTGGTGAGATTCAGGCTGGACTTGATTCAGGGCAAAAAGGCTGTGCTAGTTTCTTCTGGGAGGAGGTGTGTACTCTCTGGAGATCTTTATTTTTTTTAATTGGTGGTGTTAATGGCCACTGATCAATTACGGATTGAACAATGAAGGCATTGTTGTAACATTCCTTCTTCGTTTATGAGCTGCCACCCGTCGAAGAGATACTGCTACCCTAAGAAGGGCCGTGCATGAAGAAAGAGACACTGCTACCCCAAGCAGAGCCTTGCATTAAGAAAAAAATGAAGTAAATATAAAAAAGAGATGCTGCTTCTTATGAACTGTTACTCACTTGTACAACTTATATAGAAAACACCAGTTTATGGCTTGATTTCTTGTTTACCCTTTTTCAAAATCATGGGCTGTTTCATTTATATCCTTCAATGGTGACCACTTCTATTAATTAATTTTTTTAGACAGGGAGGGTCTAGCTCTGTTGCCCAGGTTGGTATGCAGAGAAGCAGTCATGCCACTATAGCCTCAAACTTCTAGGCTCAGGTGACCCTCCCATCTCAGCTTCCTGAGTAGCTGAGACCAAAGACACGAGCCCTCAAACCTGAGTAATTTAAAAAATCTTTTGTTGAGACAAAGTCCCCATGTTGCACAGGCTGGTCTTGAACTCCTGGATGAAGTGATCCTCCTAACTCAGCCTCCCAGAGTGTTGAAATTACAGGCACGAGGAGCTGTGCCAGCCCACTTTTATTTTTTCAAAAGGATCATTATGAATGCAGATATTCAAACATATCTGATACATCTCAATTCACTGCAACTATTATCCTTACTAATGTACAAAATGTCCTATCTTTGGTTAGAAGGAGGCCCTTCGGATTGGCCCTTCGGACATGTTGAAATCATCCTAATAATCTTTGATAGATTCTTTGCTATCCAGAGTGATAGTATGTTCCAGGCTCCTTACACATTTCTGGCCTAGACCTGAAATCAGCACTTTGTCCAGGAAGCCTTGTTTCCTCTCATTGGGCAACGGTATTTTGAGACTACAATCTTGGTGCTAGGGGCAAATAGTATAATTTTAGAACTTAAAAAACTGCCTGGCTCGTGTCTGTAATCCTAGCACTTTGGGAGGCCGAGATGGGTGGATCACGTGAAATCACGACTTTCAGACCAGCCTAAACAACATAATGAAACCCCACCTGTACTAAAAATACAAAAAATTAGCCAGGCATCATAGCGGGAGCCTGGAATCCCAGCTACTTGGGAGGCTTAGGCAGGAGAATCACTTGAACCTGAGAG